TTTTCTCCTTTGTGCAGCGATCAACAGGAAGGACTTCACTGAAGGAGCTGGACCCTCCAAAGCTTCCACCTCAGCATTGAAAAGGAAAACTGGTAAGGAGGTGGGAACTCAGGGCTTGGGGTGCAGGAACCTCAATTAAGAGCTACTGTTTCCTGAAGCATCAATTCTGAGTTCATCCTATACTACGGATCTAGTTTATCTTGGAATCCCATTCTCTGTGTTTATTTTACTCAACCTTTTGGGATGTGCAAGTTAATAAGAAATTATTATATTTATATTTTTTAAACATGAAGACTATTAATTCATAGGTATTGTTAATTAACCTATGCACCCATCTATTGATTATATAGTAGAAATAGGCTAGCAAAGTAGTGAATTTATTTAAAAACTAATTCTATGACTATAAATTGTTGGATTTATGCAGTGATTTCTATAGAGAAGAGAAAGCTAAATATTTCTTTATTGGAAGGTCATATTGCCATCTGATCACAAAGTTTGAATAGTGTCAAGGGTCACTTCCACCAGCTCTTCTGTGTTAGCAGAAATGGATAAGGTGTTTTGAAACCCAAATTGTTGATTTTTAGAGAGTTCTCCAGCAGGTCAAGACATATAGAATGACTTTTCAAAATACCTTTGCAAATAGTGTCTTACTTTTCTTCTTTACAACAGCCATGAGGAGTGAGCAGGATGGCCATTGTTACTCTTGTCTCTAAATGAGAAAACAAAATCACATAAATGTTTCAAGGTCTTCCACAAAGTCTCATGGAGATAAAGGGAAAAGAAAAGACCAGCTTCTTGGATTCTGGGTTATTTCCTTTGTAAAGCTGGAGCTCAACATAGTTATCAAAATGTTGTTTCCTCAATCCTATGTGTAGCATGAGTAGTCAAAAAATCTACAGGTCTTTAGGGCACAAAGTGGTGATTGATTTTCCCTTTCTTCTTCCTCAGAGTATAGTAGAAACATGTCTATTTAGGAAAACCCACTAGGAAATGACCACCCCTGCCCCCCCGAAAAAAAAGATATTACCTTGTCTTGAAGTTACAACAGAAAACTATTATAAATAATATTTTTGTTCTAAAAGTTCTCTATATTTATTAATGTAAAATGTAAGTTTCCTTCCATTTTTAGAGAGTGTACATTCTGACTTGTGGCTTAGTGTAGGCAAAGTGCTCTGAAAGATGGTCCCAAAATAGGTCTACCGCTCAAACACAAGAGAAGATTATTTCAAGGAGCACCAGGAGGTAGAAGTGGCTCTCCACCAACTCTCTTCTTAACACAAGATTTCCAAGGTCTCCCCACAAAGAAACAGCAGGTGAAGGAATTGTGAAATGACAATAGAAGGGTAAGAGGTAGAAGAGAGAGAAGTGAAAGAAGGTAAGATTCAAGCAGAGCACAGGTGCTCTTTGCCAGTGACTTTCTGCTCTGGGGATAGGGAATGGGAGCATCACTAATCTACAAGGTGGGTGACTTAAAGGGATGGACCAGGTGCCCTGTGTGCAGGCCATGGTATACATGGGTTCTGATGATTTTTCAAGTTATATTAGGGAATTATTAGGGAATTCCATGCTCCATCGATTCCTTGGTCTCATACTGAGACACCTAAAGAATCCTATTCCTTGTTCAATGATCAATAAACTAGATCCCTTAGAATCAAGCAAAGGAGGAGAGACCCAAGAAGCCACCTGTTTATAACTCTAATTTGTATCAGATAAGATTATATTTCTGGACAAATATCTAGAGTCTAAATCCAGAGCTCTGTGTTTTGGATGAAACTTTTTTCTAAAGTTCTCTATATGCATTGACTCATTACTTCTTGGATACAATTTTAAGCATTTAACTTTTTCAATCCTATTAGGAAATTGTAGGAAGCAAGAGGCATTATAAGTGGTTGTTCAACTGGATAAATGTATTCAATTAACATATTGAAAATGTATCAATAATACACTAGTAAATAACAGCCATTTTTACTATGCACTGTCATATCTATTAATGCTAAAGTGTTCATATTCTTTAGAGCATAGTGAGTGAGCACAGTATGCCACTATCTGTTGATAATATTGTCATTACTGCAAAACTTAGATCATCTTTAAAGAATAATCTGTGCTAACATTAATTACTAATGGAAAAAATGGTTTAGACCAACTACTCTCAAACTTAAATGATACTTAAACTATTGACTTACAGTTTTATTTTTCACAGGGCTTTTTTGAATACAAGTTCATTTTGTCTTCACAAAAAAATTAACAGGGAGATAGGGTAAGTAGGTTATCCCAACATTAACTGTGGAGGAAACTGGAGATAATGTTTGAGGGTCATTTATTAATTCACATGGAAAGTAAAATGGAGAGCCAGGCAGGAGTCCAGCATTATGACGCTGAGCACTAGAACTGGGTACAATTGAGAGAAAGAGAAAAATGATAATCTCAACATTGAAATGATCACAAACACTACCTGTTGTGTGAGTTGCAATAGACTATGTAAGACTACTGCAAACAAATACAGTTCTCTCTCTTTTACTTTATAGAGTCCATTGATTTCATAAAATCACCTACATCTAGAAAAATTCTTTGCAAACCAGGTAAGAGCAAGCAAATAAGAACTTTTCATGGTTACAAATGAAAGGGTTTTTGCTTTGTTTTTACAAAAGGTTCTATTTTTTTCTTATTACCTTTATAATAAAATACAAATTTGCTTTAATTTAATATTGTTCATATTTTAACTTTTGTATTTGTAATGGCTGGGATAATTAAACCTAATGAGGTCAATCACTCAAACTCAATACAGTTTCAATTTATTTCTCAAGTAAATATTCCAAAGGGTTGTAGAAGGTGAAAGAGGAAGAAACTCTATTTCACAAAGTGATTCTAGGAAGAAGCCAAATGAGAGACCTGCCTTCTTCAATTTCAAATTTCTAAGACCACCTTGGGAAAGAAGCAGAGCTAAAATATAACACAATTACAGACATGAACACAAATCCATAAGCTACATGTAAAAGAAGAAAGAGAATGCAGTGCAAAATACAGAGGGCCAAAAGAAAACCGAGAAGCCCTGCTAGTATGGCTCAGTTTGGTCAGCATCCCCCTATGAACCCAGAAGTCACTGGTTTGATTCCCCATTGGGGCACATGTTAGGGTTGCAGGTCCCATGCCCAGTAGGGGTGTGTGCAGGAGGCAGCTGATCCATGATTTTGCTCTCTCATCGAGGTTTCTCTCTATCCCTCTCCCTACCACTCTCTCTAAAAATCATTAAAAACATTTTTTTAAAAAGAGAGGCACAAAGAAAGGACAGGGTTGAGCAGCAAGAAAGGACAGGGCTGGGGGAGCTTTCCACTGCAGTTGAATTATAGGAAGAAGGGCTTATTGATTGTCGTGAGGGTGCTCACTCCCTTAGGGGAGGCTAATGAAATTCTTCATTTATTACAATTTTGTCCAGGAGCAGAGCTACTCCACCATGGAAACAAAACCAGTTCCTGCTCTGTAGACCCAGTGCATATAAAGGAGGAAAAGCCATGTTTAAATTCAGGAGTTAAATCTGAAGCCCAAGCAAGGACTGACTGTAACCAAGTGTCTGACAGTATAGGTAAGGCTGGCTGAAAGAATGTGATGTGAATCCCGGAACCAGGCAAGGGTCTGGGACATGTCATCAGGGCTCATGGAGACAGTGTTGGTGACCTTGGTTAGAGGTAGAAAGGGGAGGGAACAAGTGCCTCATGCAGGGAATTCAACAGGAAAATTTCCCCAGTAATTGGAAAAAATATCAAAAACAGAAATGGTAGATGTAAAAATTGATATCAGAGAGTGTATTTCTATATCCAGAGAGAGGAAGATATTGGGGTAAGAGTTAAAGAAAAAGGAAAAATTTCAGAGAGCTAAGATATTCATGAAAGGAGACTAATAAAAACATTCACAGAAAGACAAGGAGAGGTGTAAAGAGATACCTTTGCCAGAAACCAGCATAATTAGAAAAAATGAGCTAAACTAAGAGACTTTACTTAGGGTAATGGGTAACTGATGCAGTGTGCAAATGATGTTTTATTGCATTGTACACTTGAAACTTATACGGTTTTGTCAACGAGTATCACCCAATAACTTAAATCTACACTAATAAAAGACAATGATGCTAGTTGACTGTACCTTTGCTACACCCAAGCCACGCCCATCAGCCAATCAGAGCTACTATATGCAAATTAACCCAACCAAGATGGTGGCTGGCAGCCACAGAGCTGGAGCAAGCAGGAGGCTTGGTTGCCCCGGCAATGAAGGAAGCCAAGCTTCCCGCTTGCCTGACTGGCTGTGGCCTCCATAAAAGGCAAGAAAGTTTCAATTATAGAAGCCAAATAAATCCCAAATACCTGCTTCCAGCCAGCCTCCACTGGGAGCTTGGGTGGCTGAGGGCTGTGGCCAGCCTGCAAACAGCCATCAGCCCCTCACCCAGACTGGCCAGGCACCCCAGCAGGACCCCCACACCCTGAAGACGGTGTGGCCAGTCTGAAAACGTCCCTCAGCCCCTCACCCAGGCCGGCCAGGCACCCCAGCAGGGACCCCCACCCTGAAGGTGCTGTGGAAAGCCTGCAAAGGCCCTCAGTCCCTCACCCAGGCTGGCCAGGCACCCCAGTGGGTCCCTCACCCTGATCCGGTACACCATTCAGGTCAAACCAGCCAGCCCCCACCCATGCACCAGGCCTCTATCCTATATAATAAAAGGGTAATATGCAAATTTACCCTAACAGCAGAGTGACTGGGAATCACTGGTCACTATGACACACAGTGACCATCAGGGGGCAGATGCTCAAGGCAGGAGCTGTCCCCTGGTGGTCAGTGTGCTCCCACAGGGGGAGCTCTGCTCAGCCACAAGCCAGGCTGACGGCTGCCAGTACAGCTGTGGTGGTGGGAGCCTCTCCCACCTCCTCTGCAGTGCTAAGGATGTCCGACTACAGCTAGGCCTGCTCCCCGCTGGCAAGTGGACATCCCCCGAGCGCTTCTGGGCTGCTAGAGGGATGTCTGACTGCCATCTTAGGCCCAATCACCTGGGGAGCGGGCCTAAGCCAGCAGGTGGTCATTCCCCGAGGGGTCCCAGACTGCGAGAGGGCACTGGCCGGGCTGAGGGACCCACCCGATTGCACAAATTTTTGTGCACCGGGCCTCTATTTAAAAATAAAATTAATAAATAAAAATATTAAAAATATATAATTTGATATCATTTTTAAAATTTAGGCTTTATGTATATACTAGAGGCCCAGTGCATGAAATTTGTGCAGGGGAGTGGGGGTCCTCCAGCCCAGCCTGCACCCTCTCCAATCCATGATACCTCTCATAATCCATAACTATTGGCTCCTAACCACTCACCTGTCTGCCTGCCTGATGCCCCTAACTGCTCTCCCCTGGTGGCCTGATCCCCCTAACTGCCTATCTGCTTGCTCCCTCCTGGCTTGATCCCCCTAACTGCCTATGTGCTGTCCTTTCCTCTCTGCACCCTGCAGACCCCTGGCGCAGGTGTGCTGAGAGCTCTCTGCTGCAGCACCACTCCTGTCCTGATTGGTCGTTATGTGATGGCATCCTGACCAATTTGCATATCCCTCTATTATTAGAATAGATACTTCTCTGATTCATTTTTCCAGCTAATAAATATTTAAACATGTTTAGAATGATACAAAGAAAGAATGAAAAAAAGGAGGTAGAATGAGGGTGGAGATAATAGATATAAAGAGAGTGGAGGTAAGAGATAGAGTGAAGATGGGAGTTGAGGTAGAATGGGGGTGGGGATAGCAGGCAGAGTGAGAGTGAGGGTAAGAAAAGTGCTTCAGGTTGGGCAAAGCTGCCCACTATGCATGAATTTCACCACCTTAGTGGTAGGACCTGGAGCAACCTGCAGGTCACGCACATCAGGCACAGACTAGAGCAGTGATGGCGAACCTATGACATGCTTGCCAGAGGTGACATGCGAACTCATTTTTTTGGTTGATTTTTCTTTCTTAAATGGCATTTAAATATCTACACTAATAAAAGAGAAACATGGTAATTGGCGTACGACCGCTACCCTTCCCATTGGCTAATCAGCGAGATATGCAAATTAACTGTCAGCCAAGATGGCGGCCGGCAGCCAGGCAGCTTGAAACTAACATGAGGCTTGCTTGCCTCAGTGACGGCGGACTCCAACGTTCCCCGCCGGCGCTGCAGGCCTCTGAGCCTGCAGTTTCAAACATTGTAACAAATATAGAGCTAAACAAAATCCCAGAAACCAGCTTTCAGAGAGCTGGGATCTCAGAGCTGGAGTTGATACAGAGTTTCGATTAGAACCAAAACAAACCAGATACCTGCTTTCAGGAGCGGAGGCCTAAGAGCTGGAGCCTCAGAGCTAAAGCTGGCCCAGAATAAAAAAAAAAAGAAAAAAAGAAGCAGTTGGAAGCTTCAGTCCCAGCCTGAAAACAGCCCTCAGCCCCTCACCCAGACTGGCCAGGCACCCCAATGGGGACCCCCACCCTGAAGGGTGTGTGACCAGCTGCAAACAGCCATCATCCCCTCACCGAGGCTGGCCAGGCACCCCAGTGGGTACCCCCACCCTGATCCAGGACACCCTTCAGGGCAAACCAGCCAGCCCCCCCCATGCACCAGGCCTCTATTCTGTATAGTAAAAGGGTAATATGCCTCCCAGCACCGGGATCAGTGGAGCCGTGAGGCCTCCCGGCACCGGGATCAGCATGACAGGGGGCAGCGCCCTAACCCCCTGATCGCCCTGCGGCTCTGTGTGTGACAGGGTGCGGCACCCCAACCCCCTCACCCCCCCACGGGCCCTGCTCTGTGTGTGACGGGGTAGAGCCATAACCTCCCCATCGGCCCTGCCCTGAGTGTGACAGTGATGGCGCCCCAACCCCCTGATCGGCCCTGCTCTGTGGGTGACAGGGGGTGGTGCGCCAACTCCCGTATCGGCCCTACTCTATGAGTGACAGGGGGGAGCTCCTCAACCCCCTGATGGGCCCTGCTCTGTGCATGACAGGGGGGAGCTCCCCAACCCCCTGATGGGCCCTGCTCTGTGCGTGACAGGGGCGAGCTCCCCAACCCCCTGAGTGACCCTGCTCTGTGCGTGACAGGGGCGAGCTCCCCAACCCCCTGATGGGCCCTGCTCTGTGCATGACAGGGGGGAGCTCCCCAACCCCCTGATTGGCCCTGCTGTGTGCGTGACAGGGGGTGGCACCACAACCTCCCCATCAACTCTGCCATGAGTGTGACAGGGGCGGTACCACAACCCCCGAATCAGCCCTACCCTGAGCTTGACTGAGGGTGGCATTGCAACCTCCAGATCCACCCTGCTCTGTGAATGTCAGGGGGCGGCGCCCCAACTCCCCAATCAGCCCTGCTCTGAGCCCAACCAGGGGCTGCACCTAGGGATTGGGCCTGCCCTCTGCCACCCGGGAGCAGGCCTAAGCCAGCAGGTCCTTATCTCCCGAGCGGTCCCAGACTGAGAGAGGGCACAGGCGGGCTGAAGGACCCCCCCTTCCCCTCCGAGTGCACAAATTTTTGTGCACCCGGCCTCTAGTATAAAATAAATACCAAAAATGTAAGTCTCTGTTTTACTATGTTTGCAAATATCAAAAAATTTCTATACTTGACACAGCACCAGAGTTAAGTTAGGGTTTTTCAAAATGCTGGCACACCGAGCTCAAAACGTTTGCCATCACTGGACTAGAGGGACCTGAGTTAACTTAGCTTCTAGGTATTCCTAGTGGTCTCATGTACTGGGGAGAGGGGTGAAGGAACTCTGTTTCATAAAATCATTCTGTGAAGAAGCCAAATGAGAGACCTGCCTTCTTCAATTTCAAATTTCTAAGACCACCTTGGGAAAGAAGCAGAGGTAAAATATAACACGATTACAGACATGAACACAAATCCATAAGCTACATGTACAAGAAGAAAGAAAATGCAGTGCAAAATACAGGGGCCAAAAGAAACAGAGAAGCCCTGCTAGTGTGGCTCAGTTTGGTCAGCATCCTCCCATGAACCCAGAAGTCACTGGTTTGATTCCCCATTGGGGCACATGTTAGGGTTGCAGGCCCCATGCCAAGTAGTGGTGTGTGTAGGAGGCAGCTGATCCATGATGTTGCTCTCTCATCGAGGTTTCTCTCTATCCCTCTCCCTACCACTCTCTCTAAAAATATATGAAAACATTTTTTTAAAAAGAGAGGCACAAAGAAAGGACAGGTTTGATCAGCAGGAAAGGACAGAGCTGGAGGAGCTTTCCTCTGCAGTGGAATTATAGGGAGAAGGGCTTATTGATTGTCGTGAGGGTGCTCACTCCCTTAGGGGAGGCTAATGAAATTCTTCATTTATTACAATTTTGTCCAGGAGCAGAGCTACTCCACCATGGAAACAAAACCAGTTCCTGCTCTGTAGACCCAGTGCATATAAAGGAGGAAAAGCCATGTTTAAATTCAGGAGTTAAATCTGAAGCCCAAGCAAGGACTGACTGTAACCAAGTGTCTGACAGTATAGGTAAGGCTGGCTGAAAGAATGTGTGATGTGAATCCCGGAACCAGGCAAGGGTCTGTGACATGTCATCAGGGCTCATGGAGACAGTGTTGGTGACCTTGGTTAGAGGTAGAAAGGGAGGGAACAAGTGCCTCATGCAGGGAATTCAACAGGAAAATTTCCCCAGTAATTGGAAAAAATATCAAAAACAGAAATGGTAGATGTAAATATTGATATCAGAGAGTATATTTTTATATCCAGACAGAGGAAGATATTGGGGTAAGAGTTAAAGGAAAAGGAAAAATTTCAGAGAGCTAAGATATTCATGAAAGGAGACTAATAAAAACATTCACAGAAAGACAAGGAGAGGTGTAAAGAGATACGTTTGTCAGAAACCAGCATAATTAGCAAAAATGAGCTAAACTAACACTTTGCTTAGGGTAATGGGTGATTGATGCAGTGTGCAAATGATGTTTCATTGCATTGTACACTTGAAACTTATACGGTTTTGCCAAGGAGTCTCACCCAATAACTTAAATCTACACTAATAAAAGACAAAGATGCTAGTTCACTGTACCTTTGCTACACTAAGCCACGCCCATCAGCCAATCAGAGCTACAATATGCAAATTAACCCAACCAAGATGGTGGCCGGCAGCCACAGAGCTGGAGCAAGCAGGTGGCTTGGTTGCCCAGGCGATGAAGGAAGCCAAGCTTCCTGCTTGCCTGACTGGCTGTGGCTTCCCCAAAAGGCAACAAAGTTTCAATTATAGAAGCCAAATAAATCCCAAACCTGCTTCCAGCCAGCCTCCACTGGGAGCTTGGGTGGCTGAGGGCTGTGGCCAGCCTGCAAACAGCCATCAGCCCCTCACCCAGGCTGGCCAGGCACCCCAGCAGGGACTCCCACCCTGAAGGGTCTGTGGAAAGCCTGCAAACGGCCTTCAGTCCCTCACCCAGGCTGGCCAGGCACCCCAGCAGGTCCCTCACCCTGATCCAGTACACCCTTCAGGGCAAACCGGCTGGCCCCCACCCATGCACCATGCCTCTATCCTATATAATAAAGGGTGATATGCAAATTGACCCTAACAGCAGAATGACTGGGAATCACTGGTCACTATGACACACACTGACCATCAAGGGGCAGATGCTCAAGGCAGGAGCTGTCCCCTGGTGGTCAGTGTGCTCCCACGGGGGGAGCTCTGCTCAGCCACAAGCCAGCCTGACAGCTGCCAGTACAGCTGTGGTGGTGGGAGCCTCTCCCACCTCCTCTGCAGTGCTAAGGATGTCCGACTGCAGCTAGGCCTGCTCCCCGCTGGCAAGTGGACATCCCCTGAGGGCTCCTGGGCTGCTAGAGGGATGTCTGACTACCAGCTTAGGCCCAATCCCCTGGGGAGAGGGCATAAGCAAGCAGGTGGTCATTCCCCGAGGGGTCCCAGACTGCGAGAGGGCACTGGCCGGGCTGAGGGACCCACCCGATTGCACAAACTTTTGTGCACCGGGCCTCTATTTAAAAATAAATTAATAAATAAAAATATTAAAAATATATAATTTGATATCATTTTTAAAATTTAGGCTTTATGCATATACTAGAGGCCTAGTGCACGAAATTTGTGCATGGGAATGGGGGTCCTCCAGCCCAGCCTGCACCCTCTCCAATCCATGATACCTCTCATAATCCATAACTATTGGCTCCTAACCACTCACCTGTCTGCCTGCCTGATGCCCCTAACTGCTCCCCTGCTGGCCTGATGCCCCTAACTGCTCTCCCCTGGTGGCCTGATCCCCCTAACTGCCTATCTGCTTGCCCCCTCCTGGCCTGATCCCCCTAACTGCCTATGTGCTCTCCTTTCCCTCTGCACCCTGCAGACCCCTGGCGCAGGTGTGCTGAGAGCTCTCTGCTGCAGCACCACTCCCGTCCTGATTGGTCGTTATGTGATGGCATCCTGACCAATTTGCATATCCCTCTATTATTAGAATAGATACTTCTCTGATCCATTTTTTCAGCTAACAAATATTTAAACATGTTTAGAATCATACAAAGAAAGAATGAAAAAAAGAGGTAGAATGAGGGTGGAGATAATAGATATAAAGAGAGTGGAGGTAAGAGATAGAGTGAAGATGGGAGTTGAGGTAGAATGGGGGTGGGGATAGCAGGCAGAGTGAGAGTGGGGGTAAGAAAAGTGCTTCAGGTTGGGCAAAGCTGCCCACTATGCATGAATTTCACCACCTATTGGTAGGACCTGGAGCAACCTGCAGGTCACGCACATCAGGCACTGACTAGAGCAGTGATGGCGAACCTATGACATGCTTGCCAGAGGTGACATGCGAACTCATTTTTTTGGTTGATTTTTCTTTGTTAAATGGCATTTAAATATATAAAATAAATATCAAAAATATAAGTCTTTGTTTTACTATGTTTGCAAATATCAAAAAATTTCTATACTTGACACAGCACCAGAGTTAAGTTAGGGTTTTTCAAAATGCTGGCACACCGAGCTCAAAACGTTTGCCATCACTGGACTAGAGGGACCTGAGTTAACTTAGCTTCTAGGTATTCCTAGTGGTCTCATGTACTGGGGAGAGGGGTGAAGGAACTCTGTTTCACAAAATCATTCTGTGAAGAAGCCAAATGAGAGACCTGCCTCCTTCAATTTCAAATTTCTAAGACCACCTTGGGAAAGAAGCAGAGGTAAAATATAACACAATTACAGACATGAACACAAATCCATAAGCTACATGTAAAAGAAGAAAGAGAATGCAGTGCAAAATACAGGGGCCAAAAGAAACAGAGAAGCCCTGCTAGTGTGGCTCAGTTTGGTCAGCATCCTCCCATGCACCCAGACATCTTAAGACCAGTCTGATCCTATCCCTCATAAACTGAAATACCAAGGTGTTTTTCAAAGTCCTATTGAGAAATAAAGGAAGATGCATGGCCAATCCTGGATTCCTACTTCTCAATTCTGAGGTTTTTAATTTCTTTAGAACAAAGAGAGAATCTATATATAGATGAAACATCCTTATAAACTAAAGCCTTCTGCACTATAAATCATGCTAAGATCTGCAACTTTTATTTATTTATTTCTAATTTCTCACTACTACCTTCTTTTTTAGGTACTGTGGATCTTGGCAACAAATCTACTTTAGAAAAAGCTGAGAAGAAAAAAAGTAAGAGTGAATAAGATTTTGTTTGCTTTTGATGTAGAAATGAGTTTTTAAATACCAGGGTTTCATCATTATTATTATTTATAATATTGTGTTAGGTAGAATGATGGCGTCTCAAGGATGTCCGTGCCCTAATCCCTGGAACCTGTAATCTGTTATCTTACATGGCAAGTGAACTTTGGAGATTTAATTCTACTAGGGACCTTAAAATGAGGAGATTATCTTGGATACTCTGGGTGGCCCCAATATACTTCCCTAATCCTTAAAATGTGGAGAACTTTTCTTGGCTATGGAGAGAGGGATAAGTGACGATGGAAGAATGGTCAGAGAGATGCAATATTGCTGGCTCTGAAGATGGAAAAAAGGAATAGGATATGTGGGTGACCTTAAGAAGCAGAAAAATCAAGGAAAAGTTGTCCCCTATAGCCTCCAGAAAGGAATGAAAGTCTGTTACAAACTTGATTTTAGCCAAGTGAGTCCATTCACAATTCTGACATTAATTGTAAGATGATGAATTGTATTGTTTTAAGCCCACTATTTATAGTAAGTTGTTATGGCAGCAATATGAAAATAATACAGACTTTGGTTCTTAAAAGTGGGTTATGAATCTAAAACATTCCTAAAAATGTGGCAATGGCTTTGGGAAGTGGGTAGAGGCTAGAAGAATTTTAAGTAGAATGATTGGGAGAAAAAAAAAAAAGCCTAGATTGCCTTGAGCAGTTTGTAGAAATGTGAATGCTGAAGACCTAGGGAGGACTCAGAAGGAGGAAAGACATGGAAGAGAACATCTATGTTGTCTCAGAGAATTCATAAATCATCCTAACAGCACAAGTATGTACAAACATGGAGGTTAAAGGTGTGAGTGGTGAGGGCTCAGAAGGCAATAAAGAATATGTTTTTGGAAACGTGAGGAAGATGATTCTTATTATATAGTGACAGAAAGTGGAGCAAAATCCTGTCCTGCAGATATATGGAAAGCAGAACTTTCTGCATCTACACTAAGGAGGTTTCTAGGTGATGAAGATGCAGCTGGTTTCTGTTTTGCTGCTTAAAATAAAATGTGAGAAGAACAAAAAAAACTGACGGGAGGAGAACTGCTCAACAAAAAGAAATCAGGACTTGATGATTTGGATTGTCTTAGCTTACTGCGGCTACAAAAGATGCTAAAATTGAGATTCTCTGTCAGGTTAAGTGTGCTCTGTAGAATAACCAAGAGTGTGGCTGAACAAATTTTTGCTAGAGCCTCGGAAGCAGCGAAAGATCAGAATATTTAGTCACAGAAATGTTCTTTGATGAGACTAAGCATGTAACTCATAGATCTCCATAGCCATCTCAGCTGAACTAAAATATAGATATGTGATTATATAGGCAGCATCTGTGGAGGAGCCTTTTGTCTAATGCAGCAAATCCCCATGACATACATGGGAGACCTATAAGGTTCTTGAGAATTTTATACCAACAGAAACAGAGATGTCCATGTCTAGTCCCTGGAGCCTCTAATCTGTCTCTTTAGATGGTGAAAGAGAGTTTGAAAATGGGATTAAGGGCATAAAAAGGGGGCGATTATCCTGGATAATTTGGGCGGCCCATCAAATTATGTAGATGCTTAAAATCAGAAAAACCCTCCTGCTGTGGAGAGAGGGCTTTGTGTCTATGGAATAATGATCAGAGATGTAAACTGGCTGTGTTTTAAGATGGAAGCAGAAGGCAATGAGTCAAGAAATGTGGGCAGCACTTAGAGCTGGAAAAGTTAAAAAAAAAAAAAAAAAAAAAGGATTCTTTCTTACTATAGCTTCCAGAAAAGAACAAAGCCCTGTGGCCCTGTGGGCACCCTAACGTGAGGCCAGTGAAACTTAGTTCAGCCCTTTAGAACTGCAAGATAAAAACCTGTGTTGCTTTAAGTTACAAAGTTTTTGGGGATTTATTACAGCCACAACAGAGAACTATCACCTTTCATAAGATTAAAAAAAAGAGAGAGAATATTTTACTCTTATATGATTATTTTACATCTTTCAAATAGGCAATTTATATTTTTTAAATGCTCACATTTTTGTTGCTTTTTAATTTTAAAATCTATGAACTTTATAGACTTTGTTGGGTATCTTTTCAGATTTTTCCTGCCCATGTATTAACATATTTAGAATTATATTACTTATCTGAGTTCATCTATTCCTACTGTTACATTTCCCTTATTTTAATCAGTATATCAAGCACACATTTTGCCAATTTAAGAATAGATACTTTTATTTCATTCCTGTTTTAATTTGCATTACTATAATTTTTTAGTGTAGTTGAGCATTTCTTACTGGTTATTGGTCATCTGTTGCTCTTCTACAAATGCCTGGTATCTGTCTTACCAGTGTTGCTGTTATGTTGGTCATACTGTCCAATAATAGGTATATTAATATATTGCATGTTAAATTTTGCAAATGTATATTGTTAATATTTTGTCTCATTTAATGTTAATTTTTAGGTTTTTAATTGTATGTTTTTTCCTAGAGAAGTTTGAAAATTTTAGATACCTAAATCTGTCAGGGTTTTCCTTTATGGCTTTACATAAAATTTATACAAAGGTTTTAAAGATTTTATATTTGGTTCTAGCTGAAAGTAGGTAAACGTGGTTAATACATTTAACAACCTTTTTCTTCATAAGTTGGAATGCCCTTTTTATGCCTTTTCTTTCCTGTATTCATGGACCTGTGTCTGCACTCTACACTGAAGAGCTACACTAGGGCAGTTTCCTTCTGGAAGGAAGACTCAGGGCATTTGTGAATCCCAGATATAATTATGCATCTCTATCTCCCATACTTCCTAGGTGTTTCCTCCTCAGGTACCTGCATCTTTGCTCTTCCTTCACTGCTAAAAACCATTCCACTGGCTGCAACTTTATCTTTCTCTCCAATAATCATTTTTCACTCAGACTTTTCATGTAGAAGGGTCAGACACAAGCAGGGCAAAGGCATTTCCAAAGAATATAAACAAATCCTCTACCCGTGGTCGGCACACTGCGGCTCGCGAGCCACATGCGACTCTTTGGCCCCTTGAGTGTGGCTCTTCCTAAGCCTTAGGAGTACCCTAATTAAGTTAATAACAATGTACCTACCTATATAGTTTAAGTTTAAAAAATTTGGCTCTCAAAACAAATTTTTCAATCATTGTACTATTGATATTTGTCTCTGTTGACTAATGAGTTTACCAACCACTGCTAGGCATTCCGAAGCATGGGAAAGAATGATGCATCCTTACCAACAGAACAGAACTCAGATTTTCAGAATTGATCTAATACAATGCCATTAATCCCCAATCACTTTTGTCCTAATCATAATGCAGGAAAGAGCTGATCCCTTTCTTCCTTCCTTGGGGACAACAGCCTTCAATGACCAAAGAGCCATATTAGAGAAGTGTGGACAAGAGGATGTGAGGTCATAGAGTTAGATGATCAGAGCATTGGATGTAGCTTTGATAAAGGGCACACCATTGTCAGACAGCAGTAGTCCAGCTAGCCATGCAATTTGAAGATTGCTTTAGAGTTTCCTGAGCTCCTCTTTCAGCTTTGGAGAAAGCTGATGAGGAGAAAAAATGAGGTAAAGCAAGAGAACACAAATATCAAGTAGACTAGAGGCCCGGTGCACAAAAATTTGTGCACTCAGGAGGGAGGGAGGGACCCTCAGCCCGGCCTGTGCCCTCTAGCAGTCTGGGACCCCTCGGGAGATAACGACCTGCTGGTTTAGGCCTGCTCCCGGGTGACAGAGGGCAGGCCCAATCCCTAGGTGCAGCCCCTGGTCGGGCTCAGAGCAGGGCCGATTGGGGGGTTGGGGCATCACCCCCTGTCACACTCAAGGCAGGGTCGATGGGGAGGTTGCGGCGTGACCCCCTGTCACGCACAGAGCAGGGCCAATCCGGGGGTTGGGGCACTGCCCCCTGTCACACACAGAGCAGGGCCCATCAGGGGGTTGGGGAGCTCCCTCCTGTCATGCACAGAGCAGGGCCCATCAGGAGGTTGAGGAGCTCCCCGCTGTCACTCACAGAGTAGGTCCGATAGGGGATTTGGGGCACCGTCCCCTGTCACACACAGAGCAGGGCAGATCAGTGGATTGGGTGCCACCCTCTATCACCCACAGAGCAGGGCCAATCAGGGGATTGGGGCGCCGCCACTGTCACACTCAGGGCAGGGCTGATGGGGAGGTTATGGCTTTACCCCGTCACACACAGAGCAGGGCCCGTGGGGGTCCGGGGGGGGGGGGGGGTTGGGGCGCCACCCTCTATCACCCACAGAGCAGGGCTGATCAGGGGGTTTGGGCGCTGCCCCCTGTCATGCTGATCCCGGTGCCGGGAGGCCTCTCGGCTCCGCTGATCCCGGTGCTGGGAGGCATATTACCCTTTTACTATATAGGGTAGAGGCCTGGTACACGGGTGGGTGCCAGCTCGTTTGCCCTGAAGGGTGTCCTGGATCAGGGTGGGGGTCCCCACTGGGGTGCCTGGCCAGCCTGGGTGAGGGGATGATGGCTGTTTGCAGCTGGTCACACCCCCTTCAGGGTGGGGGTCCCCACTGGGGTGCCTGGCCAGTCTGGGTGAGGGGCTGAGGGATGTTTTCAGGCTGGGGGTGACTGAAGCTCCCAACCACTCCTTTTTTCCTTTTTTTTATTTTTTTATTCTGGGCCAGCTTTAGCTTGAGGCTTGGCTCCATCCAGCTCTTAGGCCTCCTCCGCTGCTGAAAGTAGGTTTCTGGCCTTTGCATACAATGTTGCGAATCTGCTGGCTGAAGTCCGGCGGTATTTGTTACAATGTTTGAAACTGCAGGCTCAGAGGCCTGCAGCCGCAGGCGGGGAACGCTTGTTTCCTCCATCACTGAGACAAGCGAGCCTCATGTTAGTTTCAAGCTGCCTGGCTGCCGGCCGCCATCTTGGCTGACAGTTAATTTGCATACCTCGCTGATTAGCCAATGAAAAGGGTAGCGGTCATATGCCAATTACCATGTTTCTCTTTTATTAGTGTAGATACCATCTCCATTAGGTTACCCATCATTATCCTCTCTGCCACCAAGTCAGAGCTCAAACAGGAGCTGCATGCACAGTGTTTGACTTTGTCTCCAGCTACCTAACTGCAGTGGAAGAGCATAGCTGGGGAGCTTTCTGCAGAACATGACAGCAGCTGTATGTTTCATTGTCATGTAAGAATTAAGGGGGCTGACTGGATTGGGAGTTAAGACAGTTTTATTGAAGCCTTTCTCTGCTTAAACATTCTAATTGTATGAGGTTTCAGAGGTGAGATGAAGATGTACATCTTTCATTATGCAACAAAAATACCACTGAAAGAAAAACTGAGAAACTCTGGAGATTTGTGAAATAAAATTTCCTAAGAACCTCTGTCTTTATAGAAACAACCTTGACATGGGAGGACGTTTTACGTGTGCAATTTTAAAATGAGACACAATAAAGAAACTTCTCTTTCAGGGATAAGAAAGCACATAGATGGGACTATGGATTTTGATGCTGAAATACTTCCTGTGATCTGCGGGGAGATGGTGGGCTTGTTAATTAAGAGAAAATTTGAACGAGGTAGGTTTCAAGGTTTACTTTAATCTGCAACCACTATGTGAGAGAATCACAAAAAGTAATGGAATACCCTGATCATTCAAGAAATTTGGGCCCCAGTTTTGTCTTGAGAAGAGGTAGGGTCCCCAAGATGATATTTTTACACTTTAAGAAATGGTGCATAAGTTCTCACTTCCACATGGAAGTGTCCATGAGGATGCCCAAGGAACCAAAGAGAAGTGCAGAAATGTCAGTCTGTGGATGGAAAATATTGCATATTTTACTTTGAATCAGCCTCCACCTTCATATCCTATACCCCTTCTGGAAACCAGCACCAGGATATATGTTTAATGTAGTGAAAAGTTCACAAAATTTGGAATCAGAAAAATGTGAGTCCCAGCTTCAGCTCTGCCAAGAGTGACTGAATAAAGAATGGGACCTCTCTGAGCCTGATACTTCTCATCTAAGAAATGGATAATAATTAAAAACCTGCCTCATGGTGTGACTTTGAGAGTTAATTTACATATTGACTATACAATGTGTTGCGATTTTTAACATAAAGTTTTCCAATAATTGTCTATTATGATAAACTTCATATCAGATTAATATTCTTTTGTGAACAATTAATATAAATAAATGTTTTCATCATAACTATTTTTAAATAGCTTTACTGAGCTATAACTCACATATCATATAATTCACCTCTTAGAGTGTAGAATTCACTGTTGAGTTTTTTATTTGCTTGGCTTATTCACAAGATTATAAAACCATCATCACAATCTAATTTTAGAACCTTTTTGTCCCCTACTAAAGGAAACACCATGTCTTTCAGTAGTCAATACCCATCCCGCCTCACCCCACTACCCAGCCCTAAGCAACCATTAATCTATTTTATGATCTATAAACTGGCCTATTCTAAGCATTTCACATCAATAGACTCATGTGACAGGTGCTTTTCTGTGACCAGTTCTTTCACACAGCATGATGTATTCAAGGTTCATACATATAGTACCACATTTAGTATATTTCATTTTTTATTGTCAAATACTATAATAGTCCATGGTATGGATATACAATATTGCATTTATCTAAAGTTTGGGTTTTCTCTCCCTTTAGCTATCATAAATAATGCTGTTTTGTCAAAGTTTTTGGTGAACATAAATTTTTAATTATTTTTGCTATATGCTCTGGAGTGGAATTGCAGGATACGTGGCAATTCCATGTTGCATTTGTTGAGGGAAAAAACAAACTTTTTCCACAGTAATGCACCAGTTTATATGCTCATCAGTGAAATCTGAGGGCTCCAATTTCTCTGCATTCTCACCAATACTTGTTATTGTCGGTCTTTTTCATTACCGCCATCCGAGTGAGTGTGATGTAATATCTCAATGAGGTTTTGATTTCCTTTGCTCTAATGAATACTGTTGTTAAGTGTAACACTATCTTTTTACACAAGTTAAATTTTCTACTGAAAATATTTCGTATTATTTTAAAGTCAGCCACCCATGATTTCAGGGATAGAAAAGTATATCTGCTCAATAAAGCCAATGAGCTGGAAGAAAATTGCTGTAATACAGGACACAGATGTTGCTTTGAAGCCATTGTGAGCAACAGGGCCAGGACTTGAGATTTCAATCCAAAGCAAGAAATCCCCTGGGAGGGGACTCACAAGGCTGGGTTTAGGGATTCTCAAGTATGAAATGTGAGGCCAGACTTTTCTGCTAGTGATCTTGTACCCAAATTGGGTGGCTTCAGATGCAGTGTAGTGGGAAGCCAGTGTCTGAGCTCTGAGGACAAAGAGGTTTCAGATTCAACTTACCCCGGTCTTACAGGATCCACGGTGAAGTGCATAAGAAGCCAGGATGGAAATTGGTTCACCCTACAAGAATTTGAACTTAAAGGAGGCGTCAAAAACGCTAACTGGAAAACAAGTGTGCGCTGCAATGGAAGAACCCTAAAATGGCTGATGGAGGTATTACAGTGACAGGAGCTTGGAAGTGATTTTCCTGGTTTCACTCTAAGATAGGTCACTTTTTGTCCACCAAATATATGTTGACTGGCAACTACCACCCCAAGCCCTGACATTATGCTTGTCCCACACTCATAACTTAATACAAGGCAGTGAATTGATTTGTCAAAGAGGCTCTGTTGAGGTAGATGCAGGGAAAGGTCATTCTGACTCAGGTGCTTGCAGACAACTTTAGGCACTGAAAGAAAGGAGACAGTCTATGGCCAAACAAGTGTGCAGAACGCACTCCAGAGAAAGAATGGTGCGAAAACCAGAACCACAACTAATGTGGCTCCGTGGATTGAAGTAGATAGTGTGTTATACAGCATAATCCATCAATTGGTGTTGTTTGTGGAAGGATTCAATGCCAGGCTATGGAGTTTAAACTCATACCATAGACAATGCAGAACCATGAAGGTCTCCTGAGGTGGGAAGTGACATATTTAAAACAGTATCTCAGACAGCATGGGGCCTGGAAATGACTTCACTGTCTTTCAGCCCAAGAAACCTGTAGTCAAACTACAATGCTCAGCTCCAATGTCACCCTCTCTGAATATTCCCTGGCTGACCTGACTTGTCATCCCTTCCCTGCGTCCCTGGACCCCAATATTAAGGCCCTTCTCACAGTTTTATACTTGTCCTTCCATGCAATCCCTTATTCTCCTAGATCCCTCTAGTTTTATACATCTTTGTGGGACCACCATTGTTCAGAGTGTCTTATACCCTGTAGGTATGGGATACATGTGTAATGACTGAATAACCCTGGTGTGAGGACATAAGCTTGAGTGGCACTGGTGGAAATAGAAAGGAGGTGAGAGGTGTCAAAGAGATTGTGAATGAAAGGCTCTTAAAACTTAGGGGAAAAGCACAAGAGCAAGGAAAAAGGTTCTGAAGATGATTTTCTGGGTACCATTGATTGTGTAACCTAGAATCTCCTTCCTCCAGTAGTTAATCTTCTTCTTTCTAGAAGAAGAACAGGTGAGTAGAGGGAGATAGTGTCTCATTCAGATGCCTTGGTTTGAGCTGACAGTGGGACATCAAGTGGAAATATTTGGGAGGAGGTTGCAATGACAGACTCACAAAACATAAACACAGGCTAACCATACTCTTGGATCTTTTTATCTTTCAGGAAAATTTTCTACCTCAACCTCCAAGAATATACGGCAAGATAAAAAAGGTGATCATTACTTAATACAAGTACTTATTACATAACTAATTTTATATGTACAGCATCTTTTTATGGTTTCTCAGTTTTGTATTTAACATTGTTTCCTCTTCTCCTCTCCTCTGTCTTTATTTTATTTAATTAAGTTATTCATTTTGCAAGTGCCTTCAGATTTGCTACATTGAACATTAGGTTGTATGCAAGGTCACCTTTGAATGGTAAACCATTTGAGATGAGAATAATAAGAAGCCATCTCATAGCTGAGTTTTAGCTATAGTTGCAGATGTCAGGGAGTCCAAGTTGTAAAAGCAAACATAATTATGGAATACATAAAGACATTTCTTAATGAGGTCACAGACTCATCTTTAACTCAGCACAGATTTTTTTCGTAAAGGTTATTGTATTCTAACTTTAATGAAATCTGATGGAGCAAAAATTTGCTCACCATCATCCAGAAGAACCTGATCTAATACAGAGTCTATATTGGGACATAAACAAAACCATGTACTATTCCATAAGATGGGCAACTCGAAGCATATTTCTCTTCTAATTTTTGACATCATCTTCCATCCTTCTATAAAATATACACACAGACATACAGAATACTTTCTCAAGCAGAAATTACTGGCAATTTTTATGAGGATGGTGTTGTTGGAGAAGGAGCTTTTGTGAGACTGATATGTCTTACATGAGGGTCTGACCTGGAAAATTGTTTACTTCAATGCCACCCCTTTGGTTCTACTCAGGGGCTGTGCAGGCCACCTGTCTATCCATGAAAGTGATTTCTCCCTCTATGGAAGAAGGCTATCAAGGCAACAAACAAAATACAAAATGTGCAGTGTAGATTCAAGACAAAGTGATTATTTCTCCAATATTGAGTGTGAATGAGAACTTGGAAAGGAGGGAAAGGTGAAAATTTCAGAACAAGTTGTACATAGCTGGCTACTGAGACTTTATCTCCCAGAAATGTGAAGTCCAGGTCTTTACATTAACTGGTTCTTTTGAACTACCAGTCCTTGGGACATTTTACCCACTGGGTTTATTGAAGATAAATTGTTGTTTGACCTATTCAGTGACTACTTTAAACAGCAGTATCTCCACCATTCTCCATGTACTATCTAAAGTTACTCAATATGGAGTATCTAAAAGAGCTAGTACTCAACTTCCAATGCATAGGTTCTATCTTTATCCATGGGTGCAATACTTTGCAGCAACAAGGTTCAATTGCCCCTATATTTTGTTTCCTTGATCAAGAACAGAAATAACCCAAAGTGACAGATCTCAGGACCCATTACTGCCTCTGTAGGTCCTCTTTGCCTCCCAGAACTTGTCTTGTTGATAAAGCCTCCTGGTTTCTGGAAATTTAAATATCACTCATGATACCACTCAACAGTTTCCTGTCTCCTGATGAGGGCCACCTGTACTTTCTGGTGACAGCTTCTGTGTTGTCAAATAACTTGATATACACTGCCAAACAATCATTTATCGTATGTTAATATTTACTAAAGAGATAGCATGTAATCTCTTTTCCTAAGTGAAACAATACTCATTTTTACTCATTTAACATATAAATATTGAGTGCATAAAAATGCCCAATTTCCATTGAAGAACATTAAAATAATATCCCTGACCTTGGGATTGTTTCAACTTCATTGTCTACCATGGAAGATTAACTACTGGAGGAAGGGGATTCTAGGCTTACACTAAAGCAATGAAAGTGTAGTACCTGGTAGTCAGCTTCCTGTGAAAAGTCAGTGAGGTGCCATCTTGGGATTTGGATCCCAGGGAGATGAGGATAGTCTTCTGGAAGAGGAATTGTAATATCAAGTGTGTTGAATTCATTTTAACTTTTGGGTGGTGTCCCAGAAGAGCTACAGGAGGTGGTAGAGTTATCTATGTGTACTGTATGGTTCCCAGAACCCTGAATGATAGATGGTCATGTCATACTACCCAAGGTGAAGAGTCTGTAGGTAGAAAGCAACTGTTTCAGCATGAGTGGCCTCACTCTTATTAATAATCTTTCCTAGGATAGATATTACAGGCCAATTCATCATTGTCTTATTATATCCTCAGGCATTAAAACCCACACTTGTGCAGGCTAAATCTCAACTCAAGTTGCACACTGGAAACACCTGAAGACCTTTGAAAAATAACATTGCCTGAATCCCATTCTAGACAAAATCTCATTGAAATCCTTCTGAGTTATTATTCAGACATTAGAATTGTTAAAATGTCTTCAGAAAATTTTGATACACAAGTTACTCATTCTATAACTTAGGGAGAATACCAATGCCTGTGCCTCAAATCAGAAAAATTGATTCAGAATCTCTGATGTTGGGACCAGGAATTTAGTATTTTATATATTCTCCTTGACAATTCAAATGTGCAGCTGGGCTAAGAAACAAAGAGCCTCAGAGAAAAGGGTTCTAAAATTGATTAAAAATTATGGATGCAAGATTCTTATGCACTGCTTATATTTGTTATTTCTTTGTTCTGAAGAGAGGGTCAGCACTTTCTGAAGAATGATGATGGTAATCTGTGAATCCCTATAGAGAGGAGAAGGAAAATGGCCCCAGGTCTCCATGCTAGAGCAGTCTCATATTGCATTGGGGATGTGATTCAGGATTCTCTGGAACACTGAATGGGAGCTGTTGGCAAGATGCTCCTTGAGCCTTGCACTTTCTCATATATGGTCATTTAATACAAATATATATATATATATATATTTGATTTCAGAGAGGAAGGGAGAAGGAGAGAGATAGAAACATCAATGGTGAGAGAGAGTCATTGATAGGCTGCCTCCTGCACTCACCAGACTGGGGATTAAGCCCGCAACCTGGGCATGTGCCTTGTCCAGGAATCGAACTGTGACCACTTGGTTCATAGGTCGACACAACCACAGAGCCACACCGGCCAGGCTCACATATGGCCACTTTTAAAAGCAAAGAAATGACCAGAATTTTGTTTCCCCAAGATAAAAATTTCCATCCAAAAGTCCAGAACAAGACTCAAAATAACCTTTAGCAACTTTTCATCTTTTATTACTTTCTGCACAAAGAGAAATAACATAGCTGTGTTCCAAATTACTGTGTCCATTTGCTAAAAGGACATTTCTGATATTTGTGTGTTGTTAACCGAGATATGATACAGACTGAGAAAACAGACCACTTTTTGTTATGTATTAGGTTTGGAAGCATTTTTTAGGGTCTCAGCAGACCTGTGCTCAGTGAACCTTAGAGGGATGACAGAACTAACAAAGTAAGCTTAGCAACTACTGTGAGGAGGATTGGGTATAGATAGAATTTTGGATACTAGTGAGAGTATAGAGCAAGAAAGGATTCTCAGGTTTGTGGCAGAAAGTGTATGTTTTATAAAATGAACACGCTAGAAAAGAATATGTAGTGGGTGTGAGGACAGGATACATTAAGTTTTCCCTGGATGAGTTTGGGTTGTGCTTTCATGGCTCAGGAGGAGGTGATGGTAACAAGAAGGTAGGAATTTCTCCAATAGGCCATGGGGTAGACGGGATGTTTCTATCTGGTACAGAACAGCCTTTAAGATGTTTGCAAGCTGTCTGGAATCTCTCAGAAGGCAGATCCAGGAAAGCAACCAGGAGCAAACATAGTTACTGATTCATATGTAAATGTTGCTTTTCATTTTTGAAAAAAAAGAGGAAAAAGTGGTTTTCTGTTTTAATCACATCCTCTTCACCCCATTGATGAGGGATGCATATCCACCTGACTGGCGGATGGCAAATAACAGCATCTGTTACCTGACAGATGGATTGACAGGTGTTTATTAGTCACATATACTCCCAGGTTGAGAAAAGAGGGCAGTGCCAGCCATGCAGGCCTCACCAAGGTTTCCCTCAGGAACGGAGGGAGCAACCAGGGGCTGTGGAGGGTGAGGTGTGCCCTGGTTTCCCTGGGAAGTTGTAGCTGGCTTGTTTGAACAATTCTGTGGGTGGCAGGGCACTGAAACATGTTATTCTAGGATGAGCAGAGTTATACAACAAGCTCCCCTGGAAAAGGGCCCACAGCTAAACAATGCTCCTTGCCAGGGGACCATGTGTACCCTGCCCATCTTGGACTATCAGGTTTCATTGCCCTGTCAGCCACAGAAGCTCTGGTTTTACAGCAAAACCTTTCCTAATCACAAAGGCCACTACTCCTGAACTTCACCATAGACCAAGAGTTTTTTTTCTGAAACCTCCGTTCCATGCAGTTGGCTCACAGCTCAGGGAGAAGCACATAACTGTCCATGAAGGTTTGCACAAAGACAATGAGATTCAAATTCCCACAGTGCCGGTCTTCAGGGTCTCACTGGGGTTACAGACATTGTTTTACCTTCTAGCTGGAAAACGCAGAGAAATGCAAGATCTGCTGGGAAGAAGGAAAGTTCATCTACTGCTGTGTTTGTCTGAAGGGCTTTCATGGGGACTGTCACCTCCCACCTGTGGAATCTCAGAGGTTTGTGAGATGCAGCCCCCTCTCCTTTCAGAGGCCTTCCTCCTGCCATGCACACTCCCCCTGCAGAGTTCCTCCTTGTTCCTAATGGGGAAAGAGCAGGGCCTGGGGTACATAGTCCAACAATATGATGTGGGGAGCTGTTAAAAATGCTATCATTAGTAAGTTACTGTTCTCTTCTCACCTCTAGGAGGCTGAAGTCTGTAGCTGGGTGCTTCGCCTACATACCACTACTGTCCTTTCCAGAACTATCCACTACAGACTCCTGTTCACAGGAGTGCAAATGCCAGTTGTTTGTGTTCTGTGTGTATTCAGAACAGACAGTAAATAAGGACAGTTTCCCTTATTTTGGCATGTTCTCAACAGGTTAGTGGAGGCACAAGGCCTCCAGGGGTTAAGGCCCACACTCTGACATTCAGGCATGAAGGCAGGACTCTGTGCTCTCAGAAGCTCAAACTAGGAAAGGGGAGCCCAACACTCACCTTGACACCATCTTCCACCCAATAAACCTCTGCTGCTACTCTAGGGACCAGGGTTACCACATGAGAGTCCTGGAGAATCTGGGAGTTGTCCCCTCATTCCCTGGTTGTGCCCATCAGCCATTCCTGAAAGGAGAACATTGACAGCTGTGGGAACGAAGGTGTTTCTAGGCTTGCCTTGCTCACTTACTTCTGATATCTCAGGGCCCCTTGGAGATGTACCTTCTGCACAATAGAATTTTCTTCACGAAGTCAGCAGCAGTGCTACAGTGAATCTGAAGTCCTGGCGAGACAGATGGGGCCAAATGACAAGTCGGTGAGTTGTATTTGACCCAAGACATGTCCCTTCTGCTCACATGAGAAGTCAAACAGTCATGGGTGAAGGGAAGGGTGTCAAAGGGTGCCTGCTCTTCTGACCATGCCTCAACCACACTGAAAACACACCAGAACCTGCTCACAGAAAACAAAACAAAAAAACAACAACTCAGCTATTACATGTTAGTGTCCAAGAGCAATCCCTAGTTGGGGAAACTTCCAGAAGATTACAGTGTTCATGCTTCTGCCTAGACATGCATATGGGCTCACTCTTGCCAAGCTGCTTTTCATTCACAGTCTCTTTCTTTGCAGAAATGTGAATTCCTACTCCTAAAGGCCTATTGCCATTTCGAGACCAACGTTTTTCCGAATATTCCACATGAAAATTATGTGAGTAACAATGACAAACCATGTATAGGCCCCATAATGTTACCCAACCTTGACACAGACACTGTGGAATCTGTGATCTGAAGCCCATGGGAGGGAGAACATGAGTTGCCTTTACCTTCACCTTGTATTTCCTCTAGATTTTATGGGAATCCACAGAATGTAGACATTGAACTTTGTCAGTAATGCTCCTATTGATATATTTTTCACCAGGTTCAAAAGGCTTCTCAATGCCTAGAGACACTTAGGAGATTGGATGAAATCAAGAATAGTCTAAAGGGAGGATGTTATGCCCAAGTGGAAGGGTTTGTGCTTGATATGAACAACATCTATCAAGATCCTAAGGTAAGGGGCTCTCCCTGCTTCCATTTCATTTTCTACTTATTGAGTCACTCTGCCTGCATTTCCTGGTACTGGGAGATTTTAGAGTTTCCCTCATCCTATGACAAGCTTATACAAGCAAGGATTTAGGAAGTGACTGGGTTTTTAAATTGAGGATTTAAGCTCACCAGAGAGAGCAACAGTGAATAAAGAGTTGTCCCTGCAACCAGACTCCAGGCCCCTGAGAGCTCATTTCTCTCCTCAAAGGTGACCATTGAGGACAGTGGTGTCCACCCTGTTCAAAACCTAAGGAGAAAATTGCTTCCTAAAGTCATGCTATCCTTTTTACCTCTCCCAAAATATATTCAAACAGAACTCTCAGAGGTCCCAAGCTGCAGATTCCTTTGCATGTAAATGAACCATATACAGTAACACATCACCAGAGGGGAATAGAATTGACAATGTAAAAGGAATATCATTGATTATACATCTGTAATAGTTGATTATCACTAAGGCCTTAGATTGCTTTTCTAACTTTCACTAAAAGAAACAAACCAAAGCCAATGACTAAGAATCATCAGTATAATAATGATTTCCCATGTCTGTCTAAACAACAAGGCTTAATCATGCTTAGGAAACAAACTCTTAGATGCTTGAGTTCCTAAACTTAACCTGGTTAATGTAACTTAGGTGTTTAAGACAAGAGTCCTGATCATTTTCAGTTGTAAATTGTCTAATGACATTACATTGAGCATCATTATGTTTGTCTGTGTTTTTTTTTTCCAGCAAAATGACTCAGACCTAATAAAGGAGGAATTTAAGATGAATTTCAAACAAATCTTTGCTATTCAGGAAGCAAATCAGAACAGTTCACTGGTGTAGTGGATGCTGTTGATACCCTGGAAAATCCCATTTTCAGGCAGATTTCTCATCCCCCCGCTGTTATGAGTGTTGGCTGCTGATGCCACCTCTTCCCAGTGTATTGCTTTGTGCCAAATGGAGGCAGAGTCACTTGAAGGTTACATCTCTTTGTGCTGGGGGTTCGTTCCCAGGACCAACTCTGAACTAACCATGTGAAGTGATTCATGTTCCTGCGCTCCCCAGAGACTACCTAGAACTAGTCTCCAGCTATGCCCATTTAAAATAGTCCTTGTTTAGCATTTCCCACCATGGTATCCTGCTTCCCTTATCCCTCTTCCTCATGAGAGAATTCTCACAATAAATCATTTAATGATTTTATCTCAGGCTTTGCTTTTAGGGAACCCAACATCACCTACTCATCTTAGCAAGCCAACCCCAAGCATGGAGTTCTGAGTTGGATCACTGTCTAGCCAGATGGTAACAGGTAGAATATTGCTAGGTCCTGGGGTACTAAAACAGTGCAGTTGCATAAACATTCACCTGTAGGGGAAGAGGTACTGATGCAATTGTCTAGCATTTAAAAAGAAAAAAATAGTAACTATAAGAACTGTATGAAACCAGAAACACCAATCAGAAAGGATATATGCACCTCTATGTTCATAGCAGCACAATTCACCATAGCTAAGATCTGGAAGCAGCCTAAGTGCCCATCAGTAGATGAATGGATTAGAAAACTGTGGTACATCTACACGATGGAATACTATGCTGCTCTAAAAAGGAAGGAACTCTTACTATTTGCAACAGCATGGATGGAACTGGAGAGCATTATGCTAAGTGAAATAAGCCAGTCAATGAAGGAAAAATACCACATGATCTCACTCATTCATGGATAATAGAGACCATTACAAACTTTTGAACAATAATAGATACAGAGGCAGAGCTGCCTCAAACAGATTGTCAAACTGCAGCGGGAAGGCCGGGGAGGGTTGAGGGGCAGGAGGTAGGGGGGTAAGAGATCAACCAAAGGACTTGTATGCATGCATATAAGCATAACCAATGGACATAAGACACTGGGGGATAGGGGAGGCTAGGGGACTGTCTAGGGTGGGGGGGGGAATGGACACATATGTAATATCCTTTGTAATACTTTGAGCAATAAAATTAAAAAAATAAATAATAAAAAAATTAATAAAAACATTAAAAAAGAAAAAAAAAAGAACTGTATGATTAGGTGGCTATTTCTTTTTTAAAAACTATTTTAAATTTGCTTTTATTGATTCCAGTGAGAGGAGGGGAGAAGGAAAGGGACAGAAAAATCAATTATGAGAAAGAATAATTGATCTTCTGCCTTCTGCACACCCTCTATTGGGGATCAAGCACTCAACCTTGGCATGTGCTGTGACCAGGAATAAAACCCTGACCTTCTGGTTCATGGGTCGATGCTCAACCACTAAACAACACCGGCATGGCTAGATGGCTATTTCTAAGCTCCTTAAAGTATTTTAAAAAGTGCATGACAGGCTTATATATATTAATTACCACCTGCAACTGTAAGGTAAACAGTGGAAGGCTTGGTGCAGGCCCTAATTTTAAGAATGACAGAACTTCTGCCCACCCAGAATGTCTCAGTTGGTTAAGCATTGTCCTGTGTATAGAAAGGTTTGCCAATTTCATTCCCTGTCAGGGCACATACCTGGGTTATGGGTGCGATCCCAGATCAGGATGTATATGGGAGGCAATTGGTCAATGTCTCTCTATCTCTGTCTCTACCTCTATCTCTTTCTCTGTCTAAGCATGTGCTCAGGTGAGGATTATATTTTTAAAAAGTGATAGAAATTCAGAGAAGACTGAATTCTGAGCTCATGGTGGCCTCTTGTGCCAAAGTCAAATCCCTGATAAAGAAAGCATGAAGACCTGAAACTCAGAGTGGGGCTTTCTAAGTAGATGCACCTGAGAACTCTGAATTCTAGATCCTTCTGAACCCACTGTCCTGCAAAAGAGACCCCTGTCCCTGTTTGTAGACAGACCTTTGCCCTATCCACCGCTTTGTCTGAACGAAGATTATGCAGAGTTCTCTCAGCAAGACCAAACTAGGAATCTTCTAGATGAGCCTGCTAGCTGAAGAGATGGTTTACTCCAACAGAGCTGCAGGTCTGGCCAACATGTACTAAGAGGTGCCAGGAGATTGTGTGTGGGAATGGATCCTGGAAAAACAATGTTAGAATGTGAAACATGATTGGAGGATGCTGATACAGGCACACTCTCCTGGGCCACAGAGTTTAATTTAATTAGCCTGGAAAGGTCCAAGGGCAATGATTCTAATATGCTCCTGGGTGGCTCTTAGAGGCTTGCTATAGCACAGTGCGCACTAGATGAAGTGGAATAAGAAATATCAGACTTACCCTAGCCAGTTTTGCTTGGTGGACAGAGAGAGTTAGCCTATGAACTTAAGGGTTCCTGGTTCAATTCCGACCAAGGGCATATGCCCGGGTTCTGGGTTCCATTCCCAGTAGGGGGCATGCAGGAGGCAGCCAATCAATGATTCTCTCTCATTATTGATGTTTCTATCTCTCTATCCTTCTCTCTTCCTGTCTGAAATCAATAAAAATATATTTTTTAAAAAGTAAGTCTGCCAGGCCAACAATTATAAAAGAGATCCAAAAGCCTTAGAAAGATGTCATGACTTCACTCTGTACAACTGGAAATTCCATCCATGGGGTTACTGTGTCCTCAGATGCCTCAAAGACGCCACCTTAACAAAGCAATAAAGGATGTACTGTTGAGACGGCAGCTGCATTCTTGAAATGCTCAGTCCAGACTATCCTATGTAGGTTGGAGTAATGAAGGAATGATTTACAGAGCTGGATTCCCTAACAAATGAAATGATAGGACTCCAGAATAACTGAGGCTAAGAGGCAGCATTAACTGTCACAGCAGGATGAGTAATTTGTGTAATGGGCAACAAACTTAGAATCACAACCAGGGACCCTGGGCCATAGATGTCTAAGAAATTAGCTACTAGAAGATGCTGTTCTTACAGGCAAGACACATGAGCAGTTAACAAGGATATTAATTTATATATTTCATCAAAAGAGATTATAAATAGATGATCAGATGATTGAAATATTACTTCAATGAAAAGTCAACATTCTTTGCACACCTTCCAGACCTTAGCCAATTCTTGACTCAGAAGCTGTTGATGGCAGTTCTTACAAGAAAGGACTGTGCAAATCTATACCATAATAATTCCCTGAATTTTTCACCACAGGCACATATGGCCATTTATTCAAGTAACATATATGCAAAACAAAGAAAACTCACAGAAATTTTAAGGTTTATTGATACAGTATATGAGTTGATACCTTGGGACCCAAGACACCATAATGGCCCCTGTTAGAGTGTATGGAGGTAAGGTAATGTCTATCTAATGGTGAATCCACTCAATCTACAAATTCCCCAAGCTCTTAAATGTATAATCAGGACACACAAAAAGGTTTTTTTTTTAACCATTCATTTCTTAATCTATAAAATAACAATGACTCTCCTAGGAGAGACCAAATGGAAGACTCTGAAACAGAACTTTTCCATGGTGAACACAGTAGGTTAAAAGCAGTATTGTATTTCTGAGGAAGGAGGGAATGACAGAGGTTGGTGCCACCTGCTATGGTTGAAGTATGAAAGGGTTATAATCCCCTTTACATCTTGATATGATTCAGTAGTCTGGCTTAGGAAAAAGCTAAATGACTCCTGGCTACTAGATAACTACTAGAAACTTAAACTATAGACCTGTAAAGTTTGGAAGAAGACAGTGCTGACTTAAATGCACTCATACCAATACAAGGAATCAAGGATCACGAAGATTCAGGTGAACAGTACACTGAAAAAAGCAAAAATGACTGTACTCTAATAACTACCCTTAAAGAAATTAGATATATAAATTATCTGAAAAACATTTCAGAATAATCATCTGAAAGAAGTTCAGTGAACTACAAGACACTATATACAGACAAATCAATAAAATTGGGGGAGGGCAGGAGGGGAAGAGAACAAAATGAGAAGTTCACCAAAAAGACAAGAAACTGTAAAAGTGTCCTCGAGCTGAAGAATACAATAACTGAACTAAAGAATGTAGTAGAGAGCATTAACAGCAAATCCAGGCAAATAGAAGCAAAAAAAATCAGTGAACTAAAAGATAGGTTATTTAAAAGTATTTATTCAGAGAAGGAAAGAAGAGTTTAGAATGCCTACAGGATATATAAGACATTATTAAGAAAATCATATACTCATAATGGGAATTTCAAAGGACAAAAGTTAAGAAATGGACAGAAAGTCTATTTAAAACAATAATGGTTAAAAACTTCCCATGTTTGAGAGCTGCTTGAGACTAGGATCCTGGCATCAATACCACCCAGTCTGGCCTCAAATGCAAACCGGGACCCTACAGCCACTGTGGACAGAGACCTGTGACTATGGCTGCAGACCCACAGACACCAGGAATCCAGACATCCCGGCTGCAGATTTCTGTGAGTCACAGAGCCCATCCCCCTCCCTGCAGGCTTGCAGCAAGGCCATAGGAACTGCTAGACCCTCCCCTTTCACAGGGCTGCAGCACCGATACAGGAATTTGAGCCTGGGCATGTGTGGACACTGGGAATCTGTTCCCCGCAATGCAATTGGGTGACTAAACCCCACGCCCCACGCTGGCAGTGCCACCTGACTTCAATACTGGCAAGCACACACGGAAGTCTGTTTTCTGCAGCACAGGAATGCACCTCCTGCAGACACAGTGCTACTATGAAACCCAGTCCCCCAAGTAGACCTGGGACCCAGATTCTCCACGCAAGAGGCAGCATTGAGCACCAGTGACTTGACTCTGTTTCTCATCACATGCACATGGGATCACAGATTCCCAGTGCATTCACACTAAGAGCCATTGACTCCAATTCTTGGCGCATGCACACACAGGGACACTGATTCTCTGCTTGAGGCCGCACCAAGCAACAGAGACTCTGATACTCGATTCTTGGTGCAGACACAGGGGAACTCTGATTCCTGGCATGAGCTAGGGGACTCTGATTTTTGGCACATGCCAGAGGGGTCTCTGTTTCAGTGAGGCGCAGGTGGGTCCCTAGTTCTAGGTGTGCGCATGAGGCCACATTGAGCACCAGTGACTCTGATCCTGGGCAAGTGTGGCTCCCACCAACCCATGGCAGCTACACGTCTTGGTGTTGGAGCTCTTCAGTGACACTTGGGTTGTGCAAAGCTCCCAATGCACATGGCCCAGGACCATGCAACTAGAAGTTTGAACCTTCTAGTGATAGTCAGAATGGGGAGACGACACAATCCCCAGAGGAAAGAAAATGAGGAGTCGCCAAAAA